TATCTAGAAAGTTATAATTCGATAGAAGTCACCTGTCTTACCGTAGCAGACTGGATTTGGAGGTTTTTTAACCTTGAACACCACAGGTAGTCCAATTTGTTCTTGAGACAGAAGTTGCCTGTTTGGAGAAACATAAAAGTAGGTTAATGTAAACCAGATGGTCCATAGTAACCCATGTGAACCTTTGCACAATAGCAACAGCGTGGAGCAGACACCCGAGTTCCTTAATTGTCCAAAAACTGTTTGAGGTAGAATGCTTCTGTAGGGAATTCGTGGAAACACTCGGGTTTCTCTGCTTCCTTGCCTCTAAAGTGTCGCCGATTGAGGACCCTATCTCTTCTGAAGAGCATTTTGAGGTTAGTGCGATTTTCTTAACTTTAGCAAATTCGATGTGCCTTTTTAAGCAATCCATGTTCTGGAAGTCTGATAGCACTGCAGAATATCGGAGGGCTTTTCCCATAAGTAAGACTATGAACGTTAAATATAGGATGAATGTGCCTTTGTAACATAATTTTTTATTGTTCTTTTTATTTCTTGCTTTTCTCTCACCAGGATGTTCAGTAACAACGGATAGAACAATATATCGTCCCCTTCCAACCCGAATACACGTCGATTACTTTTATCCAGGTGACATATTTTTAGGCACGCGCAAGTGCTTTGGATAAAAATTAACTGGATAACGGTGCACAGTGGCCATATCTTTGTAATCACTTGAAGACTACACGGTTGTTAGATAAAAACCGAAAACTGAATCACTCTGAACTAAGATTTATGGGAGCAGACCATAAGTCTATATAAATATTTGGGCCGAAGTTGATCAGTCACAGCGGGATAACCGTGTAAAATTAGGAAGATTAACATTGCCAACAAAGGCCAGCGAGACTGGAATAACCATGTCTGGCTTCTTAGCCGACATTAACCCGTCATAGCCAGCCCTAGATGTTGCATCACCCAGGGCTTGAACACGCAACCGTTTGTTCAGAAGTCCATCGCTATAACCAGTAATCCACCTCTTGGGATTGGATATGACTGACTGATGACGGCTAATAAGCCAAAATGGTCTCCCCAGTCTCCCTTCTGTTTGGCAGAAATATTAAGCGGCATAAACTACTAGCCGCTGTGCAGCTACTGGTGGGGCTCGAAAGAGAGTCCCAAGGCAGGGCGAGCCCAGGGTGTTTCGTTAGTGATCGGTGGACGATCATCAACACGTGCAACATTCATTGGATTGCCAATCGGCAGAAAATAATATGCCTTGAGGTTAAACGACACATGAATGTTGAAAGCCAATTTTAGTCGATTTTTACGAAAATAATCAATATACCAAGAAAGTTGACTGGTTCCTTAGGTAAAGGGAGCATAAACTCAAGGATACCTAGAATTTCCACTGTTCACGAAAAGTTAGGAAGATCAAAGTTTCCCTGGAATAAAGCATATTACCCGAATCAGGCTGAAAAACGAGTAGATCGAATAAACGGTGGACGTGCCTAGTGATCAGTGATGTCGCTAAGAGTGAAACAGGTTTCGTGGTTTGGGAAATGCTGAAAATTTCCACCTAGGGAAGTAGAGTTTCCGTGCTCACTAAGGAGTTACGAAAATAATTATGAAAGAATGCCTAAAACCTGGCAGCCACCAATGAAGTGAGCATAGAAGACAAGAGGTTTGATTATGGAGAGAAAAAAAACGCCTTTCAGTAACAATGATGTAATAGCTATATGACCTGCAGACGTACCCACAAGCAATCATCTTTTCAGCATTAATGAACTATAAGTTCAGTTGTGTAGGTGTGTGCGGGTGATCCAATTTGTAGTTTTGCATAATCTCGATACAATTAGTAAGACAAAGTTTTACAGTGATACTAGCCCGAGCTCCCAGCATGACGCTGCTCCCCCACTTAGATCGGTTTAGACGTTAGTATAAAGCTGTATGGGACGAAATTCCCCTGTGTAATATACAATTATATGTCCTTGAAATGTTATATAAACTCGCATCCTGCATAGGTGACTACTCACAATAATCAGTAAAGATGGAAATCAATATCCTTTTATTTGTACATCCATAGTATTAACAGTTAAAATCTGCTGAGAGCCAGACCGTAAAGGCAAATATGCATGTAGTTCTAGGGTTTGAAAGATCTCCAATATTACTGAAATACCTGACACCCAAGCCTTTGCTTTTATGCGCATATAAACTCTTGGAATAATATGCCGCTAGTAGCACGAATACAATGGATCTGCTCACTGCCATTTCTCACTGCTAAATGAAAACCCGCTGACAAATGCACACCCAGAATGCTACAGAAAATTATTCCAGAAAACATTTTAGATAATTTGCACAATTTTTTGCAAATGCGTGCTACCCAAAAAATGTATAACAGTGGAAACAACTACCGAGGGGAGTGACATAAAAAGCTGTATATAAATTGGTAAACTGGAACTATGATTTGAGAAAGGAAAAATGTTATTGCGTAAATATTCAAAACTGGTTTCTAAATCTGATTTACAGGCCGTCATATTTTCCATAGCATTTTTAGTGCCCTTTTATAAGAAGATAGAAGCTGACTTCTCTCATTAAACTCACGTACAATTGCATGTTTAAAACGAGCTAGGTGGCAGTAAAATCAACTGAGATGGCTTCAGAATTACCCATCCATCGTAAAGTATTTCTGCCATGTTCGCTTCGCACCATCTGGCAGAGGGACGCTCAGCTGTATGCCAAAGGCTGATAGCTGGCAGTCATCGAAAGTTGTGTTTTTTTCACCCAGATATTCCTAATAAGACGTTGATTAAAACATCCAGAAGGAACACCAACATATGTGAATTCGCGCAAATTTCCCAGATCATCCATCCCCCAGACCTCTGTACTCCTTTCGCTGATCGTGGTAATTAGCAAGCGCTGAAAGACAAGGCTTGCACCGTGTGAGAGAAACATTGGCAACTCCTCCTTCTTCAGAACTTGTGTAGTCTTATTTACACGATCATTAACCTTCGTAGTGGTCTCAATTTCAAACATGTCCAATTCCTGTTTGACATAACATACAGTCTCTGAATAACCATCAGGTCTCTGTAAGGGTTTAAAATCCACTGAATGTGAATATACCTTCTGCGTCTCCTTATAGATTTCACTTGTGACTTCGAGTTTAAAATTTAACTCCGCTGATAATTCGGTGCTGTAGTTCACTTTACCACTTGTGTATTCACTTTTTGCGAATACGCGAATTATACGACAGCCATGAGTCTCAACACTACACTAGAATGAGTTGTTAACTTTTTCAACGTCGGCTTACTTTATAGTATCCTATTTCTGTACCCTCATTCGTGTAGGCTGACAGTTCTTCGCTGAAGGCGACAGTATGGATAGTTGAAGGTGCTCAAGTAGATCCAGTGATCATTAGTAGAAACTTACTTATGTCAGTTAGGAAATCGAATTCGCGCTGAAATTGTGTTACTAGAAACAAAGGAAAATGTTATTGAACGAAAATATGTACAAGTAAGGCATGTGGCTGATACAAAATCAATGTTAAAAGTTCAGTAAATGTTTCGAATGCTTGTTTCTGAACGAAGGAAGCAATGCACAGTAGTTTGTCTCTGCTAACAAAATTCGGCCTTAGGTCTTAGGGGAAGTTAAATGGGAACATTTTTTCACTCCCATTATTTACGCAATTCAGGACAAGATACATATTCCGTTTATAAAAATGACTATATTTTAATTTTAAAAAGATGATCTGTCAACGGATTATGCATTCGGTTTGTTCGAATACAAAACTGCAAATACAGCCGTTATAAAAGTTGCTAAAGCAGAGTGAAATTTGAAAATCTCATTTGCTCCAGGATCATATGAAAATTGCTAGCTATTAAAGGGGCTATTAAAAGTTACAAAGTGGGAAAGACTGCTTACTGAGGACGTAAAAATGCACGGTCATCCAGAGTGAAGAATGAAGATTGGCTCTAATGTTTGCGCCTGCGTTTGCCACATGCCACATTATAAGTGGACCCGAATTTGTACATACTTAGCAACATTTATTGTACATAGCAAAGCAATAATAAGAGAGAAATGCCACCTGGCTTTCAGGCAAAGAAGTGTCAAATGACCGTACAGAAAGGATGCAATTTCACTGTTATATATATTAAACATTTTGAACTTCAGAACTTTTAAGACGGTTTCCTTAAACCCATCTTCAGAAAAAACGTAACGGTAGTCCAAAGCCTAAAATATATACAAGAAAACTGTTGAAAATGTCTAATGCTTAGGTATGGTTATTGCGGACGCAAGCTCTAAAAGTATCATCAGTAAACGTCTTCAATAGCTTTTTTCGCGGAAGTACTGTGTAATGTATGGGAGTACTAGCCGTTAAAACGTAGAAATCAGCACTTGTGAGTTATCTTCATATGTCTGCGCACCAAAAGTTGTACCACAACCGATATCGTTAGTTCTGATCGGAGAATTTTTCATCTAAACCCCCATGCACACAATTTTGAATGTTGTGTCTGGTAAAAAGGAAGGTGTCGAATCACCGAGTGCATTGTTGGCAGTAAGCGCTTGATAAACTCAAACTATTCATTCATTGTTCGCAACTTATAAGCAATTCTTAGATATACGCAATTTCGTTTGGTGCATGAAGGTAGGCATTGGTATTACCTTCATGCCGCTTGTACTGCTCCTGCGTGTTACCAGTTAAAATTGTGTACATTACCTATGTTCCGGACTAATTCAAGGTACAAGTATGCGCAGAATAGTTATAACAAAGGTCAATATTATTTCTTTAGTTATGACAGGCAGTTAGCACACATAGTACTGACGTTTTAAATAATGTAACGATCAAGCATCTGTAGATTCGAGCATTCCAAAAATGGCTTTTTGTAGCGCATGGAAAAGTAATATATTAAAATGCTACTTTCTATCATAAAGCGTTGTTAAATGTCCGATGTTTGATGTGCTTATCGATCGCGCTCCACAGTACACATGCAATCTAATAGATGATTTCGATTAGGCCCATTCATCGTTTAGTTTATTAAGCGAACAGTAATATTAGAATAGCATGTATATTATGCCTACGTTTTAATACACATAATTTCAAATGAACATATTAGTCACTAGATCTTGCAGACGCGACTGCGCAGGGAACAAGCGTTTCGAAAATCGATGTTGCATTATTTATGCTGACCTAGAAAAAATCAGGAAACTAGTTTTTAGCTGTCAAAAAACGCTTGTATGTCTGTGCATAATTGAAAGCCAAGACTTCCGTAACAATATCGGTACCCGCATACTATTCATCATATCCTCGATGACAACTTAAGAACGTAACAAGACCGTGATGCAATCGTAGAGTGTTGCACTCCATAATAAACGTAACGTGTTCAAATCTCAGGGGATCCAGAGATGGGTATAACTAAATAATGACGGTTTATAAGCTAGAAATTTAAATTTCTACCTCCCTTGTCTTTAAAGTCGCTTAGCAGCGGCCTGTGGGGCTGTGTGTTGAGGTCTAGGGCATATAGATACGTCAATTTTCCTTAATGACAACGGTGAACCCCCACACATGCGGGCATGCCGGCATGCAGCACAGGAACACATGCTTAAATAAATGGCTATCAGGAATAGGTAAAATTCAGGCACATTCTGTTTGTTTTAGTACGTTTTCTGCAGGATAAAATAATAAATAATCTGATGTCAATCCCAAAATTGCTACATAGCGACAGGGAAATACGTATCCCTGTTTCGATTTACTGTCGGAAGGTATATACCCAGGAGTCAGTACGCTAGTAGCAAATCCACAGCGACTAGCTATGGAGAACCCGCGGTAAATATGTCCGATTCATAGCAAATAGTGGCAAAGTGCCCTGCCAGCACAGGCAACGAGGAAAAGTTTTGAGTCTGGAAAAACCCGGGGAATATGTGCACGAAGTATTTTGAATGAAAAATTATATATACCGTATAGATTTTTCGAAATTGTTTTGTTAAAGGACACATCTGTGTACTGTAAATATAATTAGTCATTCAAAATTCTTCATCCCTGTATTCCAGCAGATTTCCTGGACTCCACCGTATTCTCCTGTCTTCTGTGCTGGGAGAATGGTCACTAGATAGGTCGTAATATTGTAGGAGAGGAGAGAGTACCGTTTGTTTTAATTGCCCTAAAAAGAGCCCTAGGGAGTTCTGCCGCGGTTTCTGAAGGTGAACTAGGCTGTGTGG